TCCCAAACTCAGATCGTCCTGAAGAAAATGTTGCTGGCTTCAGTGCAAGGCATAGCAGAGAAGACGTTACCTGCATTCTGCCACCAGGTCGGTCCTTGGCTTCCAAAAGGGTCACTTTCGTTCCCAGTGCTTGTAGTTGACGGGCAGCCGCCAGTCCACTGATTCCCGCACCAATTATAACAACACTTGCGGAGCGCTGAAAGCAAAAATAGCGTTACTGTAGATCACGACGGAACATAAAGTAGATGAGTCATAGCATACGTAAATACGCCGATGTGCAAAGCTTAGACGAAAGTAACTTTCGCATCTTGACGCACATGCAAGCAACCCAGCTCAATGAAATTCGATCCATACATAGAAGGGATTGATACAGCTTACCACAGTGGGTTACTGTCAGGAACACACAATGGGAAAAACAGAAGAGGCGTTTCTTCAGACAGTTATTTCAGGTGGTTGTGGGTGAAGCTACCCCAATTCATGGTGGGCTTCAGATAGCAGGATAATGTTCTTGATAGTGTGTGAGCACTATGGAGTGCGGGGCATGCTTCGTGTTCCCATACTGGCCACTAACTGGTTAAGAGTTCCTGTGGAAGAGCGTTCCATGTCACGAACACCGCGATCGACAAATGCTGGACAATTATTGGCGCATTTGCGTGTGTTGCTATAGCTTCCCCAAGCATCCCACACGTGCTTAATAGGATTTGAGTCGGTTAACCCATAACGGACGGCGTGCGCCACATGGTGGCGCACGATTATTTCTTTTGTTTTTGAATGTTTCTAGCAATCTTAATATACCCATATATACTCTCAGCAATGTGGAATAACATATCTTCCCAGGACCTGGACGGCTGGATTTTTGACAAACCTACAATAAATTTTACATACATTTTGTCTTAATTTACATAAGTTTACTATTTGATGGGTGGCTTACCCATGGTTCGCACGTCCCGAGACCCCTTCCCCTAAATATAGCCACATCCTTGCTCGGGGTTGTTGTTTCGCATTTTTCGATAATGTCACCTACAGCTTCCATTCATTCTTTGCACCCTAGTTTTAGAGCGGAAAGGCGGGTTACGAAGTTGTCGTCAACGGAAATCTCTTCTTTTGGATGATGAGACAAGGACACCTACTTTAGCCCCGTCTTAACCCTGCTGTTCGCATAAGCCTACATAAACCCTACCCTGGGTGGCGGCGTGCGCCACATGGTGGCGCACGCAACAAATACACTGGCCGTCCGTTATGGGTTAAGCGGGCATGCTCAACCAATTGTCAAAAATCCTTACGTTTCTAAAGCTCTCCACCCTGATTTTTTGATGCGCTAGCATAATGTCCTCCATACGAATGAAGTTGAGGTCGAACGCCCCCGCCTCCACCCCCTTAAGACAAGCACATAAGAAAGGAGTTCAACATCACAATACCATAGAACAAGAAGTATAGTGCGATCACAAGTATAGAGCTCGCACGTCCATGCAACTTTATGCCTCCCCACACCGTATCGCCTTGACTATCACAATCATGTTCAACAATGGTCCCGGAAACGTGTTCCATATTCTCGCCACTGCAGGCGAGTTCTCACACCCATTTTGCTACTATTTGAGAAGACAAGCGACCCTGCTAACAGTTAGTCCATTCCCAATGTCTCGGCACTTAGCGAATGCTCTCGCCTATATACAGATCTCAACCGAATACTAGAAACTGTTCGTCGAGCAGAGAGACCATTCCTATGCGGTCACTGCGCCACTGTCCGGACTGGGATTACATGCCTTACAATCCTGATAAATGTTTTTGCAACTGCAGCATGTGACTGACGTGGGTCCATTTTTGCCTGTTGCAAAAAGTAGCAATCACCTGCTACTGCGGTTGATCGTGGTCTACAACCTTCCTCTTCTTTGGGCAGCAGTGTCTGTGGTTCATGTCCTGATCAATGCGCGTAACGCAACGTTATGAGCAATACCTATCTCCTAGACTGCATTCGTACTACATTTTAATTTTTCCAGCTTTCTCATGATTCTTCCTCATGTGAAGTCACCCTAGCATTACCTTCGAGACTTGCTGTCGTCAAGAACACCACTGCTGCTCACAGCAAACTTTCGCGAATTAATAAACTCCAACTTTTCCCGCTCCATCGGCTCCCTAATATTGCGTGGCCAAACCTATTTGACTCCATATTAAAGCGACTTGCACCACATATGAGTATCAGTATGCTGTGCATGGCTGGAGGATCGCTGGCATCATGTTCGCACAGTTTCATCCAATTTCGTCAAGTTAGCAATAAATTATGTTATTTTATCCACCTCATCGTTTACTTTTGCACACCAGTGTATAATAATAGTTGTATTTCGTCTTCTGCTATAGTTCAATCTATGAACAAAGTCTTACCCTCGTTCTGCATGAAAGTGGCGTATGTACCGTGAGAAGACCAATGTTGACTATTGACTTCACGTTCAGATATTCATAAATCTTCTTCAATTCCTGCGTTTGCCAAATTCGGCATAGGCCCCGAGAAATCAGATGTTTTTTACACTGATCAAATGTGAGATATTCCTAAAAATGATCTTGAGAAAATGCATGTAATAAAAGCTCAAGAAACAAAACAACTAGTACTTACAAATGGGTTCATATTCCACAAAGTAATTACGAGATTACGAAGACCAAGGTATATAATAGGCTCTGCAGAATATTGAGGGAAACGTTTCTGAAGGCAACTGGTGTCAATACTGCTGAGGACTAGATGACAAATTTTCGAAAAAGATATCCTATACATCTTACCAATTCATCGTGTTCCATTACATCAGGACGTACACAAAATGCCATCGGTTCCTCTGGAATGTGAAACGGAGCCATAAACGAGGAAGACGGAAGTTCTAAAAAAAACAGTAACATTGAAAAGCTATGAATTCGAGCAACTTGGAGTAGACTAATGTTCATTGCTTCTCAGACAATATTTACCTAATCAATGTCACAAAGAAATGCAGAACCTGTACCAGACCAGGTAGTCGATTGTTGTTTACTTTACACTTTCTTTTATGTGTTCTACGTTAAAGCAATGTAATACATTGAACAAAACTGAAAAAATAATACTCACTCTCTTCCCCTGTATACTTGGCAACAGCCGGACTCACTCCTACCTCGTCCAAGTAGTAGTGATCACGCAGGTAGTACAATGAAGGCGAATTGTGCAGCAAAGGAGCAACGGAAGCGGATAGAATCCAGTTAGGGTGACGAGCATCACAAGCCAACTTTACGAGCAAAATTAGAGATTGCAAGCATGCAAAATGGATCGATAGAAATATATACCTTGTCCTCAGGTACATTACAGTCAGAACAGCGGAACTTTTCTATATCTGCGGTCGATATCACAACTGTGGGCTCCAAATCCAACTTTCGAAATTTGTGACACTGAGGGCACTCTAACCAGTACGGAAGCAATTGGTCCTAGAAAAAAATGCAGGTACTTGGTCAACTTCACTTTCTCAAAATGGCAGACGATTTCCTAACAAACCTGAACGAAGAATCTCGGAGTCGGAAAGCAGCGACTCATTTTGCACCAAGTTACTTTCCAATCGGCAAACTGTTGAGAATATGTGTGGCCACTGAAATTTTCTCGAAATCTTCTGTCGTAATTAAACTACTTGGCTCTCAACAAGAGGTTCTGCATACTCTTAATGAAGTAACGATTTTCGGCTCCCCCACTTTCTTCACGATTTGGGGCGCGGCCGCGGCGAGCGCGGACGAGTCGATAGTGCCCGCGAACTGTGCGGGTAAATTTGAAAACGCTTCACCACCACAGTTCGCGGGCACTATCGACTCGTCCGCGCTCGCCGCGGCCGCGCCCCAAATCGTGAAGAAAGTGGGGGAGCCCGATCCTACTTACTATAAAGCGCTTCGTCTGTCGTTCTGTATGTCTGTCACGAAATTCCCTAGCTCCTCGGGATCCGCCTGGAGGACCGGGTCAAGTGTGGGATGGGTGGGCAAGGTCTCACGAAGTACAAAACACACATCAGCTAAGCGGAGCCCCGCCCACAGTGGGCGTGGCGTGCATCGAAATGAACTGTACTGAGACCAAGATTTCAATTTCAGTGACAAAACAACCTCGAAACTGGGCCAAAAAGTGGGTAAAGGTGTGCATTGGTAAGTCACATCGAATTAGGGAGACCCACCCCCGGTGGGCGGGGCGTTCTCCAAAAAAGCAGTGCTTTATGAAAAATTTCATAACTCGGTTGGGAGAAAGCCTACAGAGCAGAAAACAAATTGGTGTAGGGGAGCAATGTCTAAGGTGTTCCCAGCATACATGACGTGGGCGGAGGCCCGCCCACAATGGGCGGAGCGCGCTCTGAAGTGTACAGCGTTTTCTACAAGTCCTCATAATTCGGGCCGGAGAAGTCTTAGTGAGCCGGAAAAAGGTGGATAGAGGTGGGTGGAGGAGTGGAGGCCAACTGTCATGGTGGGCGGGGCATGACCAAAGTGGGCGGAGTTTGCGACGAAAATTCATAACTCGGCTCCAAGAAGTCCCGGAGGACCGGGAAAAAGGTGGATAGAGGTGGGTGAAGGAGTGGAGCCCAACTGCTATTGGTGGGCGGGCATGTCCAAAGTGGGCGGAGTTCTCCACGAAAACTTTGTAACTCGGCTCCAAGAAGTCCTGGAGACCGGGAGAGAAGTGGGCGAAGGAAAGGAAGTGAATTTCTAATGGTGTGCGGAGGATACACCAAAAAGCAGGATTCGCCGCCAAAATTATAAATCGGCTCAGAGATAGTTCAGAGATCGGGTAAAAAGTGGGAAGAGGTTGGCGAGGAAGAAAAAGATAGGTGGGACATGCAAAGAAATAGGCGGAGTTTACCACGAGATTTATAAATCGGTCCAGAGGCAGTCCGAGACCGGGAAAAGCGGACAATTGGTTGACGAAGGCGGACAATTGGTGGACGAAGGAGGGAAGGTCAAAAGCCATCGGTGGATGAGGCATGGGACAATCGGATAGAATTCAGCTTGAAAGTCAAATATTCGAAGTGTATTGGGCCAAATTCGAATTTACGCCGCACCATCCTATATCGCCGCAGAACTGTGCTGTGCGCGCAACGCGTGCGGCGCCAACTGGTATTCAATAACAGGTATACACTCACTATTTCCAAATTTCGTCGTAGCAGATGCCGCAGACATGTTCGCCCTTTGTTATGTGAAAGAAGTTCTTCCCACAGGCATCCGTTATCGTTTTTAGACAACTTAATTCATAACGGTTACAATCAGAAAAACAAGACGGATCACAAGACCATCCAACTTACTTCGGATTGATAGATAAAGAGCAGGACTTCTGAAGAGCGCAGTCGTTTCGATCACAGGATCCTTCACGTGACTCAGCACCATTCTTTTTATCCTAAACGTTGTGAACGTTGTTTCATAACTTTTCAAAAAAAGACCTACTTGAACGAAATAACAAGTAGAGCGCCCAACAGCCGAAATATCACGCATACTTTTGGGGTTTGGATATATCTATTCTCGAGATAGCCAATCAAACCACCAATCCCTTTTGGTTTGATTTTTCCCATGCCTACAAGCAGAAAACAGGAACGCTCGCTACTACCTACACCAACCACTGTATCTATGATCACAAATATTGTAGCCCAACAGAATAAATCAGCAATTATTGGCATATTATGAAAACTTACTCTGGATGCATCGAATTGTCCGGGTTGAATGTCCAGTTTGATCTTCTTCATTGCAACTTCTGCGCATTGGCGTTTATGTTTTACACGAGGCGAGGGCGTCGAATCACTGTCGTCATCGTAGTCATCGATGGGCTCCGGCTTGAACATGGATAGTGCAGAGAAAAACTTGCAAAACAAAATTTCAAACAGTCTTTTCGACACCTTAATGAGTTTGAATCCTCTTGCGACTTCCGATTTGCGATGTGGATCACTGTGGTCGCTGTTTCTCTCCAACAAGGATCCATCATCGTCCTCCATCGCAGAGGAAACTAAATTGAAATCCCTTGTGCAAAAACAAAAGAGCTAGAACATCCGATAAGCAGTTAGATACGAAGTACTTAAGCAAGTCATTGTAATGCCAGGTGAGGCTGGTGTCAGAGTCCGCGATCCGTCGCAGGTTTCGCTGATTTTCGCGATTTGCGCGATTTTCGCGATTTCGCGATTTGCGCGAAACCTGCGACGGATCGCAAAAATTGCAAGTGCCCCATTTGAACATTTGAAACACTGAATATGAAACAAGTGGAATCATGAGCAGTCGTCATTCAGCCATCACTATCAAGCAGAAGTGGCGGCAGGATTGGAGAACACCTTGCAGTATTGATCGGGCACTTGTGATTTCCGTGACCCGTCGCGCAAATCGCGAAATCGCTGACTGTGGCAATGTGGCTCGGGGGGCACCTCGCAACATCGCGTCAAAATCACGGAAACGCTCCGTTTTAGGACTAAGCTTTTGAAGAGGAGAGGAACTCCGGTGTACGGAAGCAATTTTCGTATTCTCCGGAGTTCGTCCCTGCTGTTTAGGCTTAGTCCTAGATGACTTTTCTCAGAGTGCCCCCCCCCCGAGCCACCTTGCGCCTCGCTGATTTTTTTAGTGATGGCTGAATGACGACTGCCCTCATGATTCCTACTTGTTTGATATTATAGAATCTAGAATTATAGGATAGAATAGGAACGAATCATGAGCATTTCAATGAACTGATAGACATTGAACATGAAACTAAAATCACGAACAGTCGTCTTTCAATCTCCACTGTCAGGCCGATGTCAGACTTTGTTCGCAAAGTCTGACATCGGTCACAAGCAGAATTCGCAGCAGGATTAAACAGCACCTCGCAGTATCATCGGGCACTTCCAACTCCTGTGATCCATCGCAGGTTTCGCGCAAATCGCGAAAATCGCTGGTAATCGCTGAAATCAGCGAAACCTGCGACGGATCGCGGACTCTGACACTAGCCTTACTTTGTGCAGGAATGGATGGAATACGATGGGGTACAATTCGAAAATTCAATCCTGTCGCAGAGTGTCTGATTCGAAAATCTCGGGCCTGCTAAGGCCACAGCTATAGTTTACCCGGACCGATCGTCCAATCGTATAGCCGAGCGTTGGGTAGATAACTATGATCTGATTGTACGACACATGCGATCGTACGATCATTCAAATAAGTTGTGCTTCAACTCTTAACCACAAACGAGGGCGTAGGGCATGCCAGAACAGAAGTAATTCCGGCAAACCGGCTCTTAACTGCGTGTCAGGTACATTCCAGAAAAAAAATGAAACAAATTAAGCATCTATTATAAAGCATAAAACTTGTAATTTCCTAAATTAATCACCATTTTCTACGAAATTAATGAAAGGAATTGTGATCCTTAGAAGCTAGAAGCTCGCGTATTTAGAAGAAAAGCCCGGACTAACAAGAGAGATAAAGTGGAGGAAAACGGAGGCTATTTTTGCTCTCGCTCAGCTTGAAATGAGACTGAACATTCGTTGGAAAGCTCTTAACTTACAGTTTTCTGCGTGAGGTGAAGAATTGCAAAAATTTGAATGTAAAGAAAACTACAGCAGTCCGAAACTTAAAACCTTGCATGTGCACGAAAAGGGACTTAAGGAGTATTCTTTGATGGTGAACATTCACAAAAACTTGAGTACTTTTCAGAGAGAGAACAATTTGAATTTTCAAATTTTCCCCCATTTGCCACAATTTCACGTTGGAATAAAATAACGACCTCTCACAATGAGTAGTACGCATTTTTATGGGATCTAAATTCTATTGTCTACAACAAAAAGTTCCCAAGATACGGCAAGTCATGGTAGTTTTCTGAAACCAGCAACCCTGGAGATTACGATCTTGCTCACATTTTGAATAATATGAATTCTGAGGAGAAAACCTTCACTGGAAGATGGATAGTTCGTGTTAGTTTCCTTTCAACAGTATGAAAGGATTATGCGCGCCTCGGGAAAGCACTCGACGTGATCGCGCGCAGGTTGCATTGGCGCATGTCCGCAGGCCGATGTCAGACTTTGCGAATCAAGAGATTTGCTATCGAATCGCGAGGTGCGAGCGTCGCATCAGCGAATCGAACTGTGTACCAGCGGTCTGAACGATGTGCCCGACTCGTCACTGTTTGAAAGTGGCGGGACTCCCTTTGCACGCTGACTTTCGCTCGCCACCTTGCCGCGCTCACGAGGTATGACAGAGCGAGAGGGGATTAGAGTCCGGAAAGCGACGAGAGTCAATGTGCAAACGGAGTTTCGCCACTCTCAAAAAGTGTCAAGCCGCTGGTACATCGTTCGAACCACTCGTAGACAGTCTGATTCGCTAGTGCAGCGAACCACTGAATTCGCAAAGGCTGACACCGGTCACACATACAATAACTGCTAGGCCGATGTCATAGTTTGCGAATCGAGCGATTCGCTAGCGAATCGCTGGATCCGAGCGTTGCGCCAGCGAATCGAACGTTGCACCAGCGAATCGAACGATGCACCAGCGAGTCGAACTATGTACCAGCGACTCGACACTGTTTGAAAGTGGCGGGACCCAACGTTCAAAGGAAGGCCCGCCACTTTCAAACAGTGTCGCTGGTACATCGTTCGACTCGCTGGCGCAAAGTTCGATTCGCTGGTGCAACGTTCGATTCGCTGGCGCAACGCTCGGATCCAGCGATTCGCTAGCGAATCGCTCGATTTGCAAACTATTTAAAGGCATTTTCGTCCCCCAACCACTTCGGGGAGGATAGCATACGGCTCTATGACATCGGCCTTACGGGGAGGGGCAGGGAGTCGTATGGAGACTCTCTCAGGTAAAGAGCACTGTAAAATTCTTGAAAGCATAATGGCTGACGGTTGACCTTAGAGGCGAAGAGTCAACGCATACAACATAACGAAAACTCCTTCAGTCAAGGAATTGGTGGAGTTCATCGTAATATATTTAAACCTCCCGAGTATTTTTACCACAAAGCTGCTCCTGCTCCACCGCATGGCCACTGATTTAGAGCACGTCCAAATTCTTGTTGATGCACGTTTCATTATGCACAATACCTAGGCATCCCGAGCAGATATGAATACTCTCTTGAAAAGACGAAATGGGAAGAAACAAGCATACGCAATTGGCGAGGTATAGAAAATGGTGAATGTGTACCTGGCGGTATTGCCCCGACATTGACATAAATTTTCTGAGCCCAAAGCAATTGAAAAGGTTCCGCCAACTCAGTATAAATTTGAACACTCTCCAAGCAATCTCAAACCAGAGAACTTAAAATTAGTAACCGAGCAAATCTACCTAGACCACGAGAATTCTACTCAAGGACACAGCATCGACGGCGGAATATTGGCAGTGGGTCAACACCGCGACGCTACCGCGCCGCAGAAGTGACCCATCGATGATTTCGACCAATTCGTGTCTAATTAAAAACCTTTGCTAGTCCTCTTAATTAATAAACGTTTTGTGTTTGTTCCAGACATCTACTTCAACTTTACGATCTCAAGACTGTGATCTATTTGTTTGTGTAACGTAAATAGAGTTCGTGGTTTTGGGGGAACATTCGAAACAGGGCATTTAAAGCCGCTGGTAGTGGCACTAAGACTAAGCCCAAAGAGGAGGAAAACGCCAAAGAGACCAAAAATTGCTTCACGATTCCCCCCTAGGATCCTCACTTTTTTCCTCTAAAAAGCTTGGTCCCGAGTTCAGTAAGCGGCGCACCATGTTCCCCCTAATGGCATGAGCGCCTGTAAACTACTTACTGGGTGTTGCTTTTCTTATGTGCTCTTACTCATTTGTAGTACCCTTCAGTCGTATGTTTTGAAGTTTTGCTCGCTGCCAGTCAAAAAACGTCGATTGGGCTGGTGTCAGAGTCCGCAATCCGTCGCAAGTTTCGCTGAAGATTCGAGCGCTTTTCGCGATTTGCGCGATTTTCGCGATTTGCGCGATTTTCGCGATTTGCGCGATTTTCGCGATTGCGCGATTTCGCGAAACCTGCGATGGATCACAGGAGTTGGAAGTGCCCGATGAATACTGCGAGGTGTTGTTTAATCCTGCTGCGAATTCTGCTTGGCAGTAAAGATTGAAAGACGAACTGTTTGTGATTCTACTTGTTTCATGTTCAATGTCTATCAGTTCATTGATGCTCATCCCACTAGGGGGGGGATGGGGAGGGCATGAGATTTAGGGCATTTCATACATGCAAAAGCCATCATTATTTTTTGTAAACGTCAGGGCTAAGCCTTAAAAGGGAAAAGACGCCCTGGCCCGTGAGCATCTTAGTTGATTAACCCAAAAAGGGACTTCCTCTTCCTTCTCCCTTAAAGCAACAGTTCAGGGAGGGTCCGAAAATTTCAATGCCACTACTACTGAGGGATACACGAGCCCTAGTGAAGAACATATGCAGTGGAAATAATAAACGAACTTACCTCAGAAACTCAAAAACAGGGTGGAAAGTCCCTCAAACATGGGTGTTCTTGGGGATTTCCCCAATCCCGCCCCCTTGCCGGCCGTCATTGGACGCGTCGGCAATCGTGCTCGTTTTGGGACCACAGGGAAAATTGATTGAAAAATGGAGCGCGTTTACAGCGGGCACGTTCAGACAACTCGTCCAACGTGCGTCTTTATCCATTGCTGAGCGGCAGAGGGAGAGTACCTGTCTAAGACCCTCCCCGACGTTTTTTTCCAGTTTTTCATACATTAATCGTCTGGTTTTCATCTACAACTTCATTATTGGTGGTTTTTTCCCGCGAAACCGTTCCTGAACTGTTGCTTTAATCCACTTGCTGACTAGGTGAATATTACTTTCGTAGACGTTAATGTCATCTAGTACAAGAATACATACATTACACAAAACACCTGAAGAAATAACATAGGAAAAAAGCTGATAGCAGCTCGTAACTTTAAAGGACTCCTTGAGCCAAATTGGCATTAGAGCAGACCGTGCACCTCAATGCCCCCTCTTACCGGATGAGACCCGTTCATTGAAATGCTGATTGATGAT